TAAGTGAAGATGAGAAAGATTGAGCTGAAAAAGACTATAAATAAAACATTTACCTATTGCAGTGTGCTCACTTGTTGCTACATCAGTGTCTTTTTTTTTTTTAAATGAATCTTTCAGAAAGGATCCCAAAATCAGTGTCAAACTCATGAGTTATTGGTTTTAATCAGTCTGAGAGATATTCGCTGAACCATTCATTGATTTCATCATATCAAACTCAATGAAATGAGAACTGAACTTCTTGTAACATGTAATTCTTTATAATTAGTTCATACATAACACAGATAAAGATTTTGTCATAATAAATGGTATTTCACAAAAAAAGTGTTTAATTTGAGAGGGGAAAAAAGCATTACTAAAGTACCACAAGAATGGAATTATTAAATAACTGGAACCGCTATGCTAAATTGTTTATGATTCCCATCCTTGTTCTCCTCTCATTTGTAGTCTGTGCCGCCTCAGCAGACTTATTAGTGCTGCTTACGTGATGTTTTTGTGCCAGTGAGCTTTTCACAAAGTACATAATCAAGGATTCTGATGCAGGCAGGTCTAATTGGAGCAGTTTTCAGCTTCCCGGCAAGCTCATGTCGAGAGGATGAACATATGTCAGCTCTCTCTGCTGGGCCACACAACGCTATGAGATTTGGATTTTGCCTGTTGCAGTATATGCTCGCCGTTTGTGTAATCTCCTTAACTTCACATGCCTCACTCCTTTGACCTATCAGACTTGTGGGAAGCGGCAACAGCATCTGCTGACGGACGTTTGCTCATGCACTTGTCTCTGTCATTTCTTCTCCATCCCAAGTGCTTATGTTACATTCCTAATGCACTTGCACATCCGTGTACCCTCTTCAACATGCTCTGTGTTTTAATAGACACTATAGGGGATAGCAATGGATTTGTTTAGAGCTCTAGTGTTTGCTTCAGGGGAAAGAGGGATTTCATTGCAAACTAATGCATTCTTAGCTCTGAGGGGACAAGGCTTTTCTTAATGTCCTTGATGCGGGCCGTCAACAATCGCCAGCACTTTCACTCTCTCATTGGTTTCGTGCCAATTTTTATTCATTGAATACATCTTGCTGAATAAAAGTATTAGTTTCAGGGAGTGCTGTCAAACGATTAATCACGATTAATCGCATCTAAAATAAAAAATTTTAAGTTTTTGTTTACATAATATATGTGTGTACTGTGTATATTTATTATGCATATATATATAAATACGCACACATACCGTATATATTTTGAAAGTATTTACATGTATATATTTATATTCATATAATTTATATTATATATAAATATATTTAATATATAGGCCTAAACATATTTTTCTGAAATATATACATGTGTGTGTGTGTGTGTGTATTTATATACATAATAAATATGCACAGTACACACACATATATTATGTAAACAAAAACTTTTATTTTGGATGTGATTAATCAAGGTTAATCGTTTGACAGCACTAGTTTCAAGTAAAAATTAATAATATTAATAATTAATAATAATAAAGATTTACTGACCCCAAACTTTGAATGGTAATGCATATTGAGTTGGGTACATTTTAGTTATCAGGCAAAAATACCTATCAAGGTAACTGGCATGTATTCTAAATTGCATAGCCTTAATACTTCAGTACAAAATAATGGTTATTTTAGTTGTAAAGTTTTCTAAATAATCTGTTTGGGGTTGAGGCTACTAGTGGCTGGATTTCTGATGCACTCTGTGGATGTGTTTCCTGCACTGATATTCTAAAAACGGAATTCTGTGGAAAGCGCTCTTATGTGACATAACTACTGCATGTCTCTTCCTGTTATCCTCATGCATGTGGAAATAACCGATTTCAGTTTTATAGCTGGTCTGGTAACTTTACATTAATGTTCCGTTTGTTGAACTGTAAAATTAAACTGTATTTAATGCATTATCTAATGTTAACTAACAATGAGCAATACATTGTTACAGTATTTACTAATCTTTGTCAATGTTAGTTAAGTAACATTAAACGATACAACTTTTGATTCTAATAATTATTAGTAAATGTTGGAATCAACATTAACTAAGATTAATAAATGCAGGCGCAATGATATTACGCAGCGCCTGAAAATAGTCCCCAGATAGGTAACTTCCAATAAGCCTATTTTCAGGCGCTGCGTAATATCATTGCGTCTGCTGCACCCATGGTACGGCAGCAAAGTTCCTTGATTATTACGCCGGAATGAGAGTATAGTTCCTAGCCATATCGGCCTAGAAAATCACAACTTTTCATTTTCCGTCGGTCTTAGTACACGATGTAACTACAGAAGATTCAAGTTTGAAATAGGAAAAATATAGAAACTCTGGTCATTTTTGAGCGAGATGCTTACGGTCTAATCAGATTCAATGATCTATGCTAAGCTACAGCTAAAAGTGCTACCGCCAGACCCGGTGTTCGGCTGAATGGATTCGAAAACGGTAAAACTCAACTGTTTAACTCTAGGGGAGTTGGAAAATGAGCCTATTTTCAAAAATAGTGGAGTATTCCTTTAAGGGCTGGGCGATATATGTAACATACTCAATGATTTTGTGGGCAGTATATGGTCTATATGTTTGCACTATATTGGTATTTATAGACAAAGTTTAAATATAATTGTATTTATCTTGCTCAGCTCTAAGTTTTGATCTTTTTTTCTGTCCTTGCTGTCATGCAGCTTCAAGATCACCTGTGATCTGCTCCATACCTTATCTCTTTGAACTGTTTCATCACCGTTTTATCTTTTCTTCATCCCCCACATAACTTCCTTTTGAGAAATGCCAGCTTTTTTAGTTGGTAAGGGACTTTTAGGGGCTTCTGAGATTGTTTATTTTCCCTCAGGTATTTTAACTAATGGAAAGGCAGTGGGTGGTCGGTGAGGAGTTGTCACGTTCACGCAGAATCACAGCCATAGGGAACGGCAGAACGGTCATGTTGCATTAGACACATTACAGGCTTTACATGCTTGATACACAGTGACAAAGCATACAGCTAGCTAACATTCTCTCATACACTGAGGCAGTAGGAGAGATTGTGATCTGGTGCAACCTTGAATCGAGAACAAGCTGGGATTAGTTACATCTTTGTCTGTATTGAAGAAGCTAAAAAGGAAATTATGCCATTTGCTCAACTCATGTAATTAAAATTTGTATTTGGGATAATGGGACATGAGAATGGGTGAATTATCCCATGAGCTAATATTTTACTTTCAGCATGGCCTGTGAGTTACTTGTCTGTTTAATTTAAGGATATATTGAAAGCTTGTACTTGTGTTTTATGAATGGTGTCAACATTTATTTTTCTAATGATTGTCCCATACTGCTGTAGCTTTAAAGGGGTCATATGATGCCATTTCAAGTTTTCCTTTGTCTTTGGAGTGTTACAAGCTGTTAGTGCATATAAGATCCGTAAAGTTGCAAAGACTAAAGTCTCAAACCCAAAGAGCGATTCTTTGTAAAAGTTAAGACTCGTCCACACCTTCCTTAAATGCCTCATTTAAACACGCCCCCACAAATCTACGTCACTGTGTTTGAAGATTTGCATAACACCGCCCAAATGTTTACACACAGAAAGGAGGTGTAACTTTTAATCTTACTGTAATATTGTTGCCGCTGCCACCATGTCGTGGAGGCGCTGTGTGTTTCCAAATATGGTTAGGGGTGTAACATTTCTGTCACATGCTTGATATTCGCCCAATCACAACGCACTGGATAGCTGGCCAATCAGAGCACAGCTCACTCAGAACGATAAGCTTTATAAAAATTGACGTGTTTCAGAAAGGCAGGGCAGAGAGGAGCAACAATAATGCATGGTATGTGTAAAATAATGTGTTTTTTTTAACCTTAAACCACGTAAAAACATTGCATTACACCAAATAAACAAAATAATGTTATTTTTAGCATTGCCATATGACCCCTTTAAGTTATTTCTGCATTACATTATCTTAAATGGCTTCATTGCATTATCTTCAGGACTTCACTAATCAGATGTTTTATACTCAAATGCATGCTTTTATTTGTGCAACATGCCCATTGTAATGGTCACATGGATTGGCAGCTCAGGAAATTTCCGTTTGCAGTGAAATTGGATTGTCTGGAGATTCCCTTCAAGCATTTCCTGAAAGAAGTGGATTTGTATGTCATCAGAGAGAAGTGGAAGTGAAAGTAGTAGTCCACTAAACCTTTAAACCTTTTGAAGTCTTTAAACACGTTCTTATGCTGATCCTCAGATATGGGAATGGTTCATGAGGGCAGGTGCTTAGGAAAACGATTACAACCTGTCACTGGTTCAGCCGAGATAAGGCCTGTAGATTGTCACACTTTTCAAATTATGAAGCTTCTTGTAAGCTTATCAGAATTAATGTTATCTCTTAAAGTAAAAAAATGAAGTACTGAATAACATTTTTAGCTGCAAATTGGAGATTTTCTTTTTAACTAGAATACTGTCTGATGCTTCTGCGGAATGTTTGTTTTATTTATTTATATTCATTTTCATCTTTAATTTGTCTTTATTTAATTAGTTAGTCTGGTCAGTAGTTCAGGTTTACTTGCCCTGTAAACACTTTTACTTTCCTCACAGCTAAAATGTCTTTGCTTTTAGAAAGATTATTCTAAAATATTAAACAGTTTTTAGATGTTTTTCATTTAATATTTATTTTCTTCATTCTCATTTCGATTTACATCTACTTTTACAATTGTAATTTAATTTTAATTAAATTACAATAGCTGTATTTATGGTATGCTGAGATTTATCGCCATGTTTTTTTTAATTTATCTTATTATTGAGCCCTGCCATCACTATCTGTACCCTCTTCTATGGCTCTATATTTATGTTTCTTCCACTTTTTCAAGCTTTGCCTGTTGTTGATGACAGACAGACGGGGCCCCTCTACTAAACCCGGATCTCTAGAGCTCCGCACCCCTGATTAGGTTTGGGAATCAGCACAGATTACTGACCATTGTTCTGAGGCCAGCGCTAGACTAGTATGTAATCTCCTCTAATTCCTGCCCCTGATTAGCTCCAAATTACTCAATTAGACGGCCTGCTGATGGACGCTTATTAGCGCTGTACATCAGAACATCTCTGTGTAGTGATATTCGCCCAATCACAACGCACTGGATAGCTGGCCAATCAGAGCACAGCTCACTCAGAACGATAAGCTTTATAAAAATTGACGTGTTTCAGAAAGGCAGGGCAGAGAGGAGCAACAATAATGCATGGTATGTGTAAAATGTGTTTTTTTTAACCTTAAACCACGTAAAAACATTGCATTACACCAAATAAACAAAATAATGTTATTTTTAGCATCGCCATATGACCCCTTTAAGTTATTTCTGCATTACATTATCTTAAATGACTTCATTGCATTATCTTCAGGACTTCACTAATCAGATGTTTTATACTCAAATGCATGCTTTTATTTGTGCAACATGCCCATTGTAATGGTCACATGGATTGGCAGCTCAGGAAATTTCCGTTTGCAGTGAAATTGGATTGTCTGGAGATTCCCTTCAAGCATTTCCTGAAAGAAGTGGATTTGTATGTCATCAGAGAGAAGTGGAAGTGAAAGTAGTAGTCCACTAAACCTTTAAACCTTTTGAAGTCTTTAAACACGTTCTTATGCTGATCCTCAGATATGGGAATGGTTCATGAGGGCAGGTGCTTAGGAAAACGATTACAACCTGTCACTGGTTCAGCCGAGATAAGGCCTGTAGATTGTCACACTTTTCAAATTATGAAGCTTCTTGTAAGCTTATCAGAATTAATGTTATCTC